ACTATTTTTTCAGGTCTGATTTTCGCTATTGCATAAATAGCGCTCTCTACTGCGAGGAAAAAAGGTGTTAGCTGACGAAAGGTAACTTTTAAATTATAATTGAATGTTTGAATGTTTTTGTTTTGTCTAGGATTACGAGGCAGCTTCTAAAAGCTTTGAGAAATGTTTAGAGATTGAGAAGAACCAGCCTACAGCCATGTTGTATAATGGTCTATCATTGTATCACAGAGGGAGAGTGGAGGTAAACCAAAGATTCCTTTAGTTGCAGTAGAAATAGATGTGCATGTACTTTTCTATCTTGACCACAGTGAAACAGAATTTTCTCTCCTTTTAGGAGTCTATTGAAATCTTTAAAGTGGTTCTGCAAACAAATACAAATCAGGCAGAATGTCATCGCAGCCTGGGTCATGCCTACAGGTATATCATGAATGAGCAATGTTTTAAACTGACAGATAATTCGACTGACATTCATAAACTCAGAGACAAACAAATAGACAGACTTACAGGCAAACAGACAGACACATAGACAGACAGACAGATAGATGGACAGACAGTCATATACACAGACAGATGGAAAGACAGACAAGACAGACAGTCAGCTAGAAAGAGAGGTGGAAAGATAGTTAGACAGACAGATAGAAAGATGGACTGATAGACATAAAAGATAGACAGTCAGACAGATAGATGGATAGATAGACAGGCAGACATAATAGACAGACGAAAACAGACGGACAGATAGACAGACATAACAAACAGACAGACCGACAGATGGACAGATGGACAGATGAGCATGAAAGACAAACTGACCAGCAGATAATCTGAAAGACTTATGGACAGACAGGTTGACAAACTGATTGACGGAAAAGAAGAGAGAAAAGACAGATGGTAGACAGATAGATCAACACAGGGAAAGAGCTAGTACCACACTCACAGGCACACATACATTTCAAGATCACGGGCAGATTAATCTCGCTGATAACTTATAGGTGAATATTTAGATAGAAAGAAAAATTAACGACAAAGCAGTGGTAAACATTTACCAATACCTGCTGAAAGAGGAAGTTAATAAGTATCATTTACAAGAAAACGTTTTATTTTATTTCATACAGACTGTTATATTTGATTTCTGATTATTAGATAATTTTTTAATCGTGACTGATTTGAAAAAAATCCATGTTGTAGGGAAATAGGAGAGCCAGAACTTTCGCATGAACATTTCACATCAGCTATCAAAATGGAGCCAACTGTTGCACAGGTTCGGTGGTCATGTTTTCTTTTGGAACAATCATGGTAGGGAAGGGGCCATAGTGAAAGGAAAGACGAGAAAAGCACATCATGCAGCAAACTGATTATGTTGTCATAAAAAGAAAAAGTTGACATCTCCTGATGTCTATTTGAACTATTTCTTCAATCAATCTGACGCCGGCCTCTTCATCTGATTTTGCATTCCGCTAAAGCTGTACCATCCCGTTCCATTCCATTTCGTCTCGACCCATTCTTTCTCACCTCAACTTCTCCTTCATTTCTTTCTTCCATTTTCGTCCCATTCAATCGTACTCTTTTGTTCATGTACTGTCATCTTTTACGTGCACCTGTAGCATGTACGTGTCATTCTATTGACAAACTGTGCTTCTCTTTCAGAACTATCATTCCAGAGGAATCTTAAATTATATGCGTGGATGGCCCGACAAAGCCGTCTCAGATTTGGAGGTATGTGATATAATTTCACGAGAAATATATGAATTATTACAACGATGATGAATGATAATGAGAGATGCTTGAAAATTTATGTAATTCTAAATGATAAAGCTATCAGTGAGTAAAGTTACTTTAGATAAGATAACATTGTCAAGTTATCCGTGTTCAACGCACTTGTGTTAGATGACATAGAAGTTCACAATGCGTCATATTTTGCTTCCATTAACAAAATTTTTTTGAAATTCACGGCAAGTGTGCCTTTCAAGTCCTCTACAGACTTTGATTTGACTGCTTTATCTTTGTGATTTGACTGCAGTCCTTTTTCATTTTGTCACTGGTTAATTTGGTGTTGTCATTGCCATTTTCATTGCAGGCATGTCTGAAATATAACCCAGGCAGTGTCTCTTGCAAGTATTGGAAGGGAGTTAGTCACGCGGCGCTGGGAAACTTTTTCGAGAGCGTAAAATCAAGCACTCAGGTCTGTAATCAAAATTGCAGTGGATTATGCGATGTGATCAATTCTCTAGCACTCATCCAATTTCTTAAGAAGTTGTTTGAAACAGTAATGTCATGATATTTCTTTTGGGAGTTTAAATAAGTTAAATTACTGCAGAGAAAGATAACATCAGTGGTAAGGAAATATATCGAGTCTTTCCTTGACAAGAATGGTTATTTTTTTTTCTTTCAACTTGCAGATCTTACTAGACGAGGCAAGCTCATCTCCCTTGCAAAACATTGATGTGATAAAAAGTTATTATCTCAAAGGTGAATATTGAACGTTACGTCATAACATGTGGACATGATGTATTGCATGAATAGTATTTTTACATGCAGTGGAGGAGTTTCTTTTAATATATATATATTTTTTTTATCGTGGTGAAATAAAAATGGCGAAGCAGTAAGCATTATTTACCTACTAAACAAGCATGTTCTGTTGCAGCACTTTGACTGGTTAAGAAAAAAGCAAGGTCAAAGTGATTTTAAATTAACCAGTCAAAGAAGAGCATCATTTTGACCAATCACAATTTCTTAAAGCGAGTGGTAGCTACGTAGATTTTCCCGCGCTTTAATCGCGCTGCAGGTTTTCCCGCGCTTTGTATTGGTATCAAGTATGCTGCGCTGGTCGCCAACTGTTTGTTTTCCCGTGCTACCCATTGGTAATCACTCGCGCTTTCCAGCGGTTACTCGTTTTCCCGCNTTATTATTATTATTATTATTATTATTATCATTATTATTATTATTATTATTATTATTATTATTATTATCATTATTATTATTATTATTATTATTATTATTATTATTATTATTATTATTTCATTTGTCTTTTGTTGTCGGGGTTTTCTGTGATACCCGTTTTCGAGTGTCCTTTAATTTTAGTTTCTTTCCTCTGCCAAATGTGTTTATCTTTGATTTTGTTTTTCATAAACAGAGAGGTCGAGAATGTTTCGTTCGGCGACTTCAGTCCAGATGCACAGGTGAAGTGCAACTTTCTGCTTTGGATTTTGACCAGACTCGAAAACATGCCCAGCAGTTAGATAGATAAACACTGAATCATTTATTTCGTTGACTGTCTTTATAGCTCTTGTTGTGCAAGTCATCTGTTCTTGGTCCTTTAGTCCAGTACAATTCCAATGGATTCTTACCAAGCAGTAGACATCACCGTGCTATGGGTCTGGCCATGTTGGATGTAGCCCAAGTAGTGACTAAGTACTGGAGAGCTGGCAGGTCATCAAAAACCAATCAGAAAAAAGCCTCCTGGAGGGACATGTTTGATGTGGTTGTCAAATGGAGAAGGTAGGGGAATAAGAAAGGCTCAAGCACGATGTGGCACCCTTCCCAAATCAATCCTTCCCTTTAATTTTCTGTCAACTCGTGCCTGACTTGTCCACTCCTAGACTTTCTGATGCGGAGCAGCCTGTTTATTGGTTGGACCTTATGCCGGAGAAAAGTGTCAAAACAGGTTTTAATTTCCGGATGAACCTGTTAAGGTAAGATGGAAGGCTTTCGTAATAGTACCGACACAAAATTAGATGAGTTTGTTTTTGTTTTTCTTTAATGTCCTCGTCTTCGAATGTATTTTTTGACTCAAGTTGAGTATGGAACGCCTCAGTTCCAATGGAGAGTCGTGATTAGAAGACCTAGAGTTACTATTTCGAGGAGGCAATAACAATTCGAAATAAATACATGTCAGTGACGTCAAGAAGGGGAAATTTTGGAAGTTGGAGCACAATTCCCTTTAGTTTGCAACCCACCTTGTTCTTCGTTTGCAAACAAAAACTTTCGAATATTTGATTAAATTGATTTATTTCTTAATAGGGGACAGTTAAAAAGCGTGAGGTACTCAGACTACTTTGACAAGATCTTCCAATTTACCAAAACAATGTTACAGCATTTGTACAGGTAAATTTTGTTTTGCTTTTGATTTCAATCTTTTGTGAGTTACCTTTCTAGCGATTTACGAAGTTGTTCGAATTCTTTATTGCTACAAAATGTTTCGGTCCTGTACGGCCAACCACACAAATTCAACTGAATTTTTGGCGAAATCCCACAGGTTTTTCCTGAACGGGCTCTTTCATCCTTGTTTTTCTCTGAGCCAGACTTTGCAGCGATGCGCAAAGATACTGCGTCGCGTGTGTGCACCAGAAGCGCTAAAGGTGATTCTGAGAGATAACATCTCTTTTGTTATTATTTTTAGAGTGGATGAATTTAATAAAACGGATTTCAAGAGGAAAATAGAGAAGGCGAAAAATTGTCGTGAGCTTATACAGGTTCTTAAGGTGAGACAATCTTTAGTTGATTTTTCATCGCACTATTCTAATAAAATTTGTCTTGTATTAAAGTTCATACGGAATGCAATCAAGCTGTATGGTATCAAATTCTGATTGCTTCTCCTCCAATTAATTTTCTGGTACATATACTTAGGCATAACTCTTTGTGTCTTCAATTTGATAATTGGACGCTCTGAAACAAAGATAAGGAAAACTATCCCAAAAAGCCTTTGGAACGAAGAATAAAGAAACCCCGATTAAAGTTTAACCCTTGGTTTGCGCTAATCGGTCCTCAAACAACTGGTCCCTGCTCTGGATTTCAGTGCTCTGGCCGTTATGCTCCGTTCATTCTAATGTCGGATTGCTTTTTCACTCTCTTTCAGCAACACGATACAAGAAACCCGCAACCCGGTATGATTTTATCGACCCATGTGACAAGCTCAAAAGGAGGAGGAAAAAAGAGTTTAGAAGGATTGAATTTAAGTCTCTCTGAGAGGTAAATTACGGCTCATCGTTTCACTAAGGCTCCATAAGGTGTGCCAACCAAGAAAAACAAAGAGAAGAAAAGAAGAGTTGTAAGAAAGGCAGGGAAAAAAAAGTAGAAGCCAATTTATGATTGGTTTTGTTATTTAAGTGACTTGAAAGACTTTCAGTTTTGTTTTCGGAACAAATGGTTGGTTTCAAAATTCAAGTCGTCCAATTGTTCTCACCAAACATTTTGTAAAACTTTTGTGTTACATCACTTTGAAATTAAATTAATTTGTCGAAGTTTCTTTCTTGCTTGTTGATGATAGTGATGCATTGACGTTCTGTTTCCAGTGGGACAAACATTTTGTTCACAATGGACACTCCTACGACGCCGGCAAGAACTGCATCTTATCATTCGGAGCTGGATTATATTTGGGGACAACTGAACGATGAATTGAGAAAACCTGGCAACAAGGTGATATTTTCTAACTCAATTTGCTGACCTTTGCTCGCGTTCAATTTCAGTAGGCACATTGTACCGAAGAGCAATTTCCCATTTAATGTTGAAGGGAATAGGTAATGGAATTGCTTTTGCTGCTTTCTGTTGTGTAATTTGTTGAGAAAATCTGTGTCCACTTCTTAAACAATCAGATGCAAAACTATAAGCAATTTGCGAAGTGATCATCCGCGCTTTAGGTCGGCGACACAATGTTACTGTATTTTAATTTTTCATAGGTTCCTTGTGAAGACAACCTTCGTTTTAATCGACTGCAATTTGCTTGTAAGGGTTTGGTTTTACAAGAAGCTTAAGTGGATTTCTTTTCCACGTACCGTCTAAGCGTTCTGGTTTTTTTTATTTTTTTATTTTCCTTTCTTTTTTTCTTCCAGGATATAGATGTCATTGGCAACTACATCCTCTCCTTGGTGTATTATTTTTTCAATTTGATGCCTCTTTCACGAGGATCAAGGTAGTTAAAGCGCTTTTTTCCCTCAGTTGACTATTTAGAGTCGGCGTTTGTCAGGTACACCGGCTGTTGATACAGCAAGGTGTTTTGAACTCTTTAGCTCGCCCCACAGGAGATACTCATGCATGAAGCTTCTCGAACCAAACCTTCAAATCCAACCGTTTGGCTGAGGAAGTGATTCCTAATTTAGTGTACCTTACAGTTGCTAATAGTTTACGGTTAGTGTATTTTCTCTCAAAGGGTAGCGTCTCGAAACATTAAGCGCAATATTAACATTTTCGTTTCTGTAGGGACTGTCATTGACCGCACGTGAAGGCGTTTGCTTTTTAAAACTTGATTAGTCTTATCCAGTTGATTATTTTGAATAATGAAGTTATTTCATCTAAAATTTATCGTCTTTTTGTCAATTTTCTGTGAACAGTGCTGTGGCCTACACCGTGGCGTTGGGCCTTTTCCTCGCTGTGGGTCGGGAAACAACTGGAAAAATCCCTCCAGGAAAGGTAAAATGCTAACCCACCCCTCCCCCCCTACTAATCCCTGCATCCTTTCAGTATATTGTTTAGAAATTTGAAGTGTATAATAACTTGAACATGCATACCAAATGTTGTCAAATGGTGCATGTTTGTTCATTTGATTTTCTTTTATTATCAATTAATTTATGTATTTATTTATTGTCTCTAGGAAGTGGATTTAGAGGCCATGATAGGAGGATCAGTGGAGAATTTCATCAAAAATGTCAAAGGATGGTTAGGGCTCAAAAAGTAAGGAACCCAAAATTTTTACGTTGATTTCTCAATTAACAGACTTTGACAAATCTTACGGGAAAAAAATGGAAAAGTCAGGCCATGTACCCAGTCGCCCATTCGACTAGAACTGATCTGGGTCGCTATAGCAGGAAGCGACTAATAGTATTGCTATTCTCCTTAGATGGCATCCTTGTTTATCGGCTGAAACCCCCCCCCCCCCTCAGAATTCAGTTAGTATTTCGGACGGGCGGGTTTTGGCAAGTTCTGAAGTGAAGAGCACGCTTTGGTCGAGTGTTGTAAACTTTAAAGCCAAAACCAAAGAAATTGACACAGCCAATTAGAACTGAGGTCTAAATCACGAGCCAATTAAAACTCAACGTTGCTGAAGTTAAGCGCGGGAAAACGCGGGTCACAATTTGCGATGGATTTGAGTTTTGCATCTGATTGGTTTAGAGGGCCGGGTATGTTTTCTGGACCAATCAAAGAGCAGACCGGTATAATCCCTGACTAAATTGCTAAAATTGCCAAACTAGCAGCTTGCATTTTATAGCATGTAATCTCAACTTGTTTTTATTGTAGGTTTTCCAAACCAGTGACTTCCTTACCTCTTGTGAGCGAAGTCTTCCCAACTCTGAGAACTGTGTTAGAAGCTCTCAATGCTCAGTTCACGGACGCTAATTGCAAAGATATAAAGTCCTATTTTTAATGAAACCTTCATAAATATCACAATTTTATAACTAAACGAGGAATACTGTCGGAGTGATAGGGGATAAATAAATAAATGTTATTTTTTCAAATGTAGTTAACCTCTTTCCTGCCCAAATCACCGTTTTAAAGTGTGGGTCAACTCTGTCTGTAGTGGATAGCAAAGATCGGCAGTGCAATTCATAAATTGAAGTTCTCCAAATTAACTAATGTTGCTGTTGGGAAGCAGTCTCAACCATCCGATGCTTTTTTCCATCCCTTTCATTGGCCAAGAGCCCATTACATGACCTGCTCAGAACTGCCCACGAACAGTGGACTGCTTATGTACAATACCGTCGAACCGTGTGTTTCATCACAAAAATATCCTGCTCGTGCGTGGTGGAGTTACTTTCTTCCTTACTAAATGTAAGATCGCCTCTCGAAGCTTACCCCCGTTCTCAGGTCCCTCACAAGAAGAAATTTTTGAAAATAGCTCTGAAAACAAACTTAGCGATAAAAACAATCCCGGAACGCGGCCATTGCAAACCTTTGCGTTTTTTCTTTATTTGTGTCTCGCTGATGAATTTTTCTCCAGCCTTCGTCAACTTCGACATAAGATATACCCGATATTGAGTGTTTTTCCAGATTTTGGCCCACTTACATTTATCATTAGCATCGTTGCTTGTCTTCATGCTATATCATATATTAGGTAGTTTTCTTGCTTTGTTTTATGAGTTGATAAATTGACCACCGTATAGTTTCAAAACTGACGTTTGGAGTGTTAGCCCTTCATCAGAGCGATTGACGAAGGGCTAACGCTCAAAACGCCAGCTTTGAAACTTTTTATGGTAGTTAATTTAAATTATCAACCCAGTTGATAAAACCAAAATTATCTTGTAACCCCAACCAATGCAGCAACCAATCAGGGAAATGTTATCATAACGCAACCAGAGTCCTCACCCTCCGCCTACCAAATGCGCTCGCACAATTATTTTTTACTTCTTTCTTTATGCATGATTAATAATAAGAAATCAAACGTTGACACTCAAGTGCAATCAAGCATTACAGGAAAATTTAAAAATAGTAGAATATTACACAGTTTTTTCTGCTCTTCTGAACCTTTAGATGTTGTGTTCTGCATCAGAAAAAATTTCTGATACTGACTACTTCAGTTCTTTTTTGCACAGCCTGTGCAAAAAAGAACTCATGGCAGCCAGCAGAACCAAGCTGAAATTCTTTTAACATAAAAGCTATTCGATTAATTACTTCTCATGCATGATGTAAGTCGATCATAACTTTCTCAAAATCAAAAGCTCGCATTCATTCTAGCTACAATGTTGCGGCCAAACTATGAACAAGAATCACCATTAACGATCGTCTTAAATTATCAAAGAGTTCATCGTTTTCTATACTCAACAACTTTTGTCGTTGTAAGACCACAAAAGAACATATGCTGATTACAAACAGGCCAAGAGGATGTTCATAGAAACGCAAAGATTCATTTTGTGTATTGTTCCCATCTTTGAGGTGTGTGATCTCTGGCACTGAAATCCACGGTACTTCGACTCTAAGAGGATTCCAAGGAGGTTCGTACATAACGCCATCAATAGCTTTGAATTCACTTGTATTTTCGTTGTACCAGCCACCTTTTTTGTGCAAAGAAATAAAATATCTATGAGTTGTGCAGTTCCTGAAGTAACGCAGCAGATTGATCACTGTTGTCTCCGCTCTACATTAAGACAGGGCTACTAACCAATTCAAGCTTTCTAAAGTAGATCTTGGATGGGTTAAAACAACGTTGGTTGCCAAGAGTCTCATATTCAAATCTTTGAGCTCGCACAAGTCTTGACACCTTGTTACCGTCTGCAAGTTCCATCATGGGGACATAACTGAACATGATGTTGACAGATCCTCACTGTCCTCCCAGTTCGGTCCACTCCTGTCACAGCCTATAGAAACAGTGAATTTTCCTGAAACTCCTTCAGATAACTTTCCGGTATTCTTTGGTCACGCTGATAATCCTCTCCAAATATAGCGTTGCAATGGTCTGTCACGACGTCTTTACGTCTTTTTTAACAACCTGACTGTTTTTCGCGCGTGGGATCAGCAGACCATTTCAGGTTTTCCCTAAAAGGTGTTTTGACGTTTTTCGCTCCATTTCGATGTGAGGGTTCTGGTTTGTTTCGAATATTGCGGTGAACACTGTAATGACAATGATCCATAACCAAACTCAAGATCCACATTATCTCAGCGAAAAGGAATTCACGTTCCAACTCATTCAAGTCATCACACAGCAAATCGTCGACTTCAGTCAAAAGCCTTGTCCAGCAGGAAAGCGGTCTTCCTCCCCACGTCAACTGGTTGACTAAAATAATTTTCAGAAGACATGATGCCAGCTAACAATCGACTTTGCTTATCAAGAGACTAATTGATAGGACACGCGGAAGACGGAAATAAATAACCCGGATAATGCAATAATACCGTTGTACGGGTATAACATAGATTCCCGGATCGAAAAAAAGAAGTTATGTCACGTGTTTTGACGGTTCGATAACAAGCCACTGCTTGGGAAATAAGCCCACGTTGAGGAGAGATTAGGGAATAATTTAAGCAAAAACAATAGCTCTAATTGGCAGAACAATAGCCCGGCACGTGTGTTTTAAAACTTTGTACATTTCTTAGCCGTCCTTTGAAAAACAACAACGTGAAATCACCAAAATTTGCGTCGTCTGCGAGGCGAAACCGCGGCGGCAAATTATTTTAGTTTACATTTGGAACTCAACGCTACTTTTATGGGTTATGTTGAGTTTGAGGTCTGGCGCCCTATGAGACGGTAAACACATGCAGCCATTTTCGAAATTCTAACTAAAAGTAGAAACTCATTTTATATTCCAAATGAATGAAGGCCGATAGTTTCGAAAGAAACTGTTTGGGGCTGCGTCGGTGGGAGTAACGAAATACGGTGGCCAATTTACCACTTCAACTTTGTTGATATATCCAAATTATTTCATTTTTTAATCGACGTCTTCCGTGGCGTTGCCGTCCTGACTGCTAAAAGTCCCTACTAAAATCGGACTTGGATCGGAAACAAAATTAAAGATATAATTTCTATGGAAGGTTCCTCATCCAACCGATAAGCTGAACAAGTGGGATTTCTTGAATGCGTACAAGTTTTTCCTAAAGATGGCGATCACCATCGCGAATTTTCATTAACATTGCTGATGTTATTTTTTTAAAGAATGTTAATCGAACTTAGACATTAAGCACTACTTAAATCCAACTTCCTTGGTCTGCATCTTTGAAATAACAATATTAGAGATGACTTTCTTTCTCTGAAAGATATTAGCCCTACCCTTAAAGACGTAAGAAAAACAAACACTCGAAAGAGTGATCTCAGCGTGGAGGAGTGGCCAACAGGAGGGGGAACGGAGACGAGACAAGAGCGAAGGAGGGCATTTAAGGGATCCCCCAACGTAATCAATTTCCTCACTTACATCCAAAACAAGTATCACACAGTTACATACGCAGGGATTACTCTATTTTACTATTAACCACTTGCTGATTTGAAGCACCACTAAAAACATCACTACATATCATAACATAACATATAATATCACCTACGAATTTACATTACAATCAACCAGTTGTACTACAATGTGAGTGGAAACTCTGCACTACAATGGATCAGTTACAGAATTAAAGATTGCAAAAGACTTGACAATCCGGAAGCTTAAATCTTATTAGGGAAGACTACATTATAAAATTATATTACAATAAAATTATCATTAGTGGATCTTAAAAGGTAAGTGCACTTTAGATAATTACAAATTTCAAAAGAACTTTCCTTACTTTTGATAGCATAGCGCACACTACGCCCCTTATTTTTTTTTCCTCAGAGGCTTGTTAAAAAGGTATATTTGGCTTGGTAAGCTAGACTTGCCATGTAAATGCAATTTCGTGAAAACTGCTCCATTAGCTGTGATCTTGCCATTGTGAAGCCAACATCAATCCTGACTGGACTGATGGACAGCACTCTTACTTATTTAAATTTAATTTTAGTTTTTGTTTTTGCAGGTTTGTATGCAGTGTGTGAACGTGTCATGTACGGAAAACTAAGCAATCTGGGTTACCTATTTCAGGCTAGCTTGACCTCAACGGAATCTGGATCAAAAATAATCTTGACAAAATAGTACAGAACGGTGAAAATACCAACAGAGCTTGTGTAATCACTTATAAATGTAAATTTTCCACAAGCACCTGTATTCTCACAATACTCAATGAGAAAACAATAGGTATCGTTTATAAGAATGGAATGTCTGTATAAACTACACAGTTGTTTAGTTGAAATGATTTTAGCCCTTTACCTCCCAAGATCTGATCACCAATTCTCCCATCTTGCTGCTACACATTTCCTGGTAAATTAGTTACAAGAATTTGCTTGTGAGATCAAGATAAAAAACCTCAGCCTGATAAGTTTAAGTATTCTCATTACCTGTTTGCTAGATACTGTATGGATATTACAGGGAGAAGTTACATGTTAATCACTTCTTGAGTTAAGGGGTTAACACCTCACATTTCCTTGCATTGAAAGATGGGTAAGAATCTAAAAGGCTACACGTCTAAGACAAAGCAAATAATCAATAGAATCATTTTGAACAATTTTTAAGATAGTTAACTGGGCAAGGAACAAGGCTAACCTTCTTCATTCAGCCCTTTAAACAATCAGGACATGTAATGTTCTGGTATGCACTAAATATTTAGAATAGATTCTTGTCACCTTCATAAAATTACCACAAACCACATTTTCATGTCATAAATTCAACCTAAAACGAAAACACCTGGACGTCTTATTAGTTAAATAAAAATTTGCCGTTAAAAGATTTTGTACTATTTTTTCGTTCAAAGTGCATGTAGGTAAACAACAATTTTTTAATTGTTCACTTTTGGGGGATGACTGACCAGTAACCTCAAAGTCTCTTCAAAGCAGCTGATACTTTTGGGAATGAGCAAAAAAAAAAAAAAAAAATAATAATAATAATAATAATAATAATAATAATAATGTCATAAGCCAACAAAGTCCTAAGGTAGTTGCGAAGTCATTTCACAAACCCTCTACTTGCATTAAATTCAGAAACATCAACCTTGTATTTGTACAATAAACATATTTATAAGCATGAAAATTTTTATATACCCAAATTATGTTAAGAGAAAACCTCTGCAACTTCATTTCCACTTTCAAAAAAATAAAATCTCAGAGATATACATGTGTGAAATGCAGGAAATAAAGTAGATCCCATGCTTGTTGTGTGAAAAGATTTCTACATATTTGGAAACATAATAGTTACAGAGGTTTAGGTCATATGAGCTCTCAACAACAATTGTATTAGATACTCGATGTGCATTATCTGTACAATCCTTGCCGGACCAAATTCCTCTCTAAAAACAAATAACACTCTTTTGATAAAAATGTGTCATGTGGTCTTTAAATTTTGGTGTACAATCAGTTTGAAATACAGTACTTATCATTTGCAGTCATCTTCCAGAGATGTTCTTGAGCCTACTTTATTTTCACATTCTTATCATGTCGAGTGTTAGAAAACCTCCTTATTTCTCAACCCATTCTTTGAAATTCTGAAATCAGTGACTACTTCACATACTGAGGTACATCTAAAAATCTTGCTAAAAAAAAAAAAATGGATAAAAAAATTTTTAAGCTAAGGTCCTTTGCACAACTGTCGCTCAAAAGGTAGTTCAAACCTCTTATTATTGTTCCGTTTGTACAGTATGAGGCTTGAAAATAATAGCTGACTGGGTGGCATGATCACATCTGGGTGAGGGCAGTTCTGAACAAAACTTGACCCTGCTCAGTTTCACAAATGCCAATGACCATAGCTGTTTAAATTCAGGACCACCATTAACAGGATGGCCATGCTGTTGAAATTTTCAATTCTCTGGTCCTGGCTTGGCTTGTTATTATTATTTTTTTTTTTGGTACAGAGACGAAAGGTTAAAAGGATCACTATTCATGTTAAAAGCTGTGTAAAAATTCCCGCCAAGAACTAAAAATGTCACCTTGTCCATGAATTTCCTCATCACACCCAGAATACTTGATCTTGAGTTGGTGAAAATGGGTTGGAATCTTTCTTACTGAGAGGTGCGTGAGGAGGGGGGCTTGTTTGCCTTGAGGAAAAGAATGATGCGAAGTCATCTTCTCCATTTGTTTGACGTACAGCACTTGGTCCCCATTTTGATGATGACGACCAGCCAGTTGTCCCTTGTGGTGACGCACTTGGCAGTGTGGACTGCATATCACGTGTCCATGCATTTGAAAGAGCATCAATGTGGGATGCTGTTTCTGCAAATGGATTGACTGTAGTCAGCAATCCCTGATTTGGTTGCATTGTCTTGGCTGGCTGTGTGGTGTCGACTGAAGCAGACGCCAGCCACATTTCAGCCTCTGATAGAGGCTTCTGCCTCTGTACTTGGCTAGAGACACTCCATGAGCCTGACCCATTGACTTGGGGAGTTGCCCCCTGAACAGGTTGGGGCTGTAATGGAGGCACTGTATTTGGAACACTGCTTCTTTGACTTAAGTTCAGTATAGTATTGGGTGCTTGCATTGTTGATGTTGAGTTAGAATTCAGCCCATTAAAGATGGAAGTTGGTTGACTTGGAGCACTGTTCTGCATTGCTGGTCCTTTTGAGACTGGTGTTCCAAATGAGGTTGATAAAGGGGTGGGTGTGTTTTTCTGTAGCATAAGGGCATCAACAGTTGGAGGCAACTGTGGAACTGCTGGTTCTTCTGTTAATGTTTCGTAGCCACTTGTGTCGTTGCGTAGAGGCATAAAAGACAGAGGATTTGAGCGGTACCTCAGTGACATGTGACGGGTAAAAGGTGAAGGGTTAAAAGGTTGTGGACGTGGTCTCGCAACTGAGGGAGGAGGTTTAAGTATAGGAGTACCAGCATTACTTTGCTTTGGTTCAGCTGGTGACGGTACTTGCTGTGTTCCTGTTGTCACAACACCATTCTTAATCGGAGGCGTTGTCATACTGGATGGGACTGAGGCCACAGCGATTGGAGCCGTGGTGGATGCTGGCATAGGAGATGGGACAGGGACAGAGGGTTTCATTTGTGCAGGGGATGGCGGCTGTGCAGTTGGATTTGGAGGACTGGATCCATTAACTACTGGTGTGGTGCTTGCTGCAGCTGGTGTCCCTGTTTCAGCAGCTGCAGTAGAAGCCTGTTGGGTTGGAGGCTGTCCTTGTTGTTGCTGTTGACCCTAAATCAAAGGAGACCAAAGTGCAACAAAGTGAAGGTAAATATTGCAGCTTTGTTTCCTTCACAAACAAAAACTTAAGTTTAGGTAGCATCCATATTCACCCAGGACTAAATGTATCATATCATCTTACTTTTGTTTTAAACGAAATAAAAAATTCACCAGGGAAAATAATCAGATCTCAAATACAAACAGATGAGTCTAAAAGCTTATTTCAACTCTGAGTGAGCCTTTAACCCTTTCAATCCCACAATCTGATTATGAATTCTCCCCTCTAGCTACTACACATTTTCTTGTAAATTAGATATGATAATTTGGTGTTAGATCAGGGTACCTCAGTTCCTGTTTGCTAGATAATATATAGGCATTAAAAGGGAGAAGTTACATGTTAATCAGTTATGGCCTCAGTACTGGAAACAACTCCCCTGAAATTCTCATAAATATACACAATGAAAGGAGAATTGGGATGTATAAAATTCAGAAGAGAATAATGGTGTTTTTCTGACCTCCTTATGTTGCTGCTGCAGAGCTTGAGCTTTCTGCTTTCTCTGCAAACAGGCTGTGAATGCGCAGCCAACTGCATGGCTTAAACGTTCTCCCTGACAAGAAAACAGAGAAAAGTTGCTCATTAGTAGTCTACAGGAAGTGCTGAAATGTTAATACAACCAGAATTTACCCTAGTATCAATAACATTGACAAATTAGGATGGTTGCTTCCAGAGCAGATAATCTCTCCTCTCCTCCTCCCTTAGGATTTTGTCAGGTTTCTGGGTAAATTTCTTGGTTCCTGTCTGGGTACCCTTCTAGATCATTTTCTTTATCCTCGTGACCTTACCGTGGGATTCAGGGGTTGAAATTGTACGGAGAAATCAGATGCAAGTCACTCTTAGGGTTTCAGAGTTTAGTGCTCTATTGCATCCTGTTCTAAAAATTATCACTTTTTTTGTGGTTTTCCTAGTATTAAGCTTTGAGAAGTTCTGTGAATCTTCAAAGATAATTGCCAAACATTTTGTTAATCTCAATACAAGCAGGTGTCCACTTTCATTTTTACTTTGTTTCTTTTTCCAATAAAATATTCTTGCTAACAACTGTTTAATTATTTTAGGTAACCAAATGAAGAATTTGAGAAAAAAAATTCATCATAGAGCAATCAGAGGGAATCAATTTGATGGGAGACACTTTGTTCTGTGTGTAAGATGCCATGGTTCAAATCTGTGTAAAGTTGGTTTAAAAATTTCTAAACCAGTTCATTTTTCCATTTTTATTTGTCTATCAGTGTGAACACTAATCCCAGCTCATAGGTCTGAGAATTTTTAACACATGGAAAAATTTTAACCACAATGTTGAAGGAAAGTCAGTTTGTCAACTTACTGTGTCTCTCAAAGCTATAAAGCTATGGCACATCCATCTTCTTGTAGTTCCTTCACGGCAGATGTAAGAGAAGACTCTGTCATTACTTGGATCAGGAGTACAAAATGATACTTTCTCAATTGTCTGGTCAATGACCAGGGACTGAAATAAAACAGTTCAAGAAGCGATTATGTACTATCTTATCATAAAAAATTATGTGAGCTTTGTAATCTGATGAACCAACAAATGTACATGTACCTTAAAAAACAACTCACTCTTAACAGTTTGAATGGAATAAAATAAGAAACTTTGACACCGTTGATTGTCCAAGACCCAAAGGATCTCAATAGCAAATGCTTTCAAGTTCACTGTAAAATGGCTCACTGATGGAGGCTTTTATTGTACTATACAGTCTTAAAACAGTCACAGAAAATTGTGAAATTATTATTTCATGCTACTAAATAATGGAAGTAATTGTTTACAAAAAAAAAATGATGAAAGCACTCCAGGAGATCTAGAAGAACTCAAAGTTCATAAGATGAATGCCCATTCCCAGCCTTGCATGCACTTTGAAGCAGTTTATACTCGACCTTTAGTGTGTTTTACTGGGCATAACACCAGCACACAATGTTAACATCTGACAAATATGATAAGTGAGTTAAGCCTCATTTTGATATCTAACATAAACCTTCCATGATAGGATTTCCTCTGGTTGTTGTTATTGTTCATGATAGTTCCCATTTAAGATTGACATTACACAATCTAAGAAACTGGATGAATGTGGTACAGAAAAAAACTCATACAGCACATTTCATTAATCGATCATATAAATGTACAAAATAAGTAAGCTTACTAAAATACATATTTTTAGAATAATACAAGCACACAATTAAAAGACAAAATCAAATCTGATTTATTCGTCTTTATTACCTCACTGGCTTTCAAACATTAGTTAATCCATTATTTATATCACAAGGTTCATTGCTGAAGTGTAGTTGTCAGATATTCTATATAAATTATCTGCAGAAACTTATGCTCAAATGTCTGTAGTCAGCATTGCATTCTTTAGAAGTAATCCAGCAGATTTCTTTTAGACATATAATTTTCAGAAGGTTGGAAATGAACCACACTGAACTGTCTTGGTGCGATGGCTTGTGAAGAGTTGAAATTAAAGTTTCATTTCAAGATGTTTGTATTCGAAAGTTAGGCGAACAGAAAATAAGCATACTGCCTCAGAAATCACAAACTCTCTGGGAAGTACCATATTTCAATTCAGTGTTTAGCACCTTGAAGAAAAAAAAAAAGCTGGCAACTAAATTGGATTGAAAGAAATTCTATAAAGAATGAGGAAACGATGACAGAAAAATAGAATTAAATTACGATTCCGACAGAAAAAAGTCAACAGTTTTCCTTATGGGAACAGATTGCTAAGTACAAGAGGAAACAGTTTCATTAAAAAAGAAACGTGCGATGTCTTCCCAGTGGAATAAAATTACTATATTCTTATTTTGTTACCATTAATGAGTGTGAAAAAGCACTATCAAGCTGAGAACTGAAAGATAGAACGTCGATATATTGATCAAAGTTGCTGAATTTTCGAGAGCGGCATTTGATACGCAGCTTCGAGCAAATAAATCAAAACGAACGAGTTCGGTTCGAATAAATTTGACGGTCAAGTATTTAACGCCTGTGTTGTGAAAATTCTTTTAATCACAATTCGTGATGAAAGAAGGTTGGACTGATTGTACTTCATGCATAGGATGAGCACATGTCGAAACAAGATAGGTTGCATGTTGAAATGATTGCTGAAAATACAAATTACACGAAATAATAATCTAAGGAACGACTCACAATTCCCAGAGAGATTTAATCCACGAATGGAACAATTTTTAAGAACGTTTTCAACAGTAAATATGGTGCTCTTTTATTTGAATTCAGCTGCTTCTAGGTAAATATGCATTTAAGGGACTTCTTCGAGTCGAAAGTATAAAAGGTGGGTACTATTAAAAAAAAAAAAATCGAAAAGAATTATTCTGTTTTGAGTAAAATATCACACAACGAGCGGTAGAGAACAAATAAATGAACATTTCAAACAGACTATCTTCATATCAATGGTCTGTTTCAAGTACCTTCGGTCTTTTCGATAAAATTAATCAGCGATGAAATAAAGAAATACAAAAACATCAATTTGCAGTGTATACGAAACTTTTCCTTAGGCATTATGTAAAATCCGCCTTCTATCTAAAAACAGGAACAACTTATGACAGCCAGCTAATATAAGCTGATGAATTTTTTCAGCAAGTCTAGATTTTTCCGCGCAAGGTAGTTCAAACAAAATCCAACAGATATACTTGCGATCATTCCAAATCTCGGATTCTTTATCGAAGCACATTGCTCATATATATTACCTCGTTGAAGGGAAAATTCGCCGAAAAAGGACCCGAATTTTTTACAAAAAAAAAACTAAAGGTGAACAATATCGTCTACTCTCTGCCTCTCTCTTAGATATGCCACATGACACACGAATACTTGCGTAGTTACATCAGCGCGATCAAAAATATTTTGAGCTTATAGCTTAAAAAAAATACTTTGCCTCTCTCACCTTGGTTTGTTCGTCCACAACTCGTACACAATCTGCCGTGACAAGCAACTGCATTCGCTTCTTTTTTCCTGTCCCGACCTGAAATAAACGAGAGATTGATACAACCGTTAAGCCGAATCGCTTATATATCATGACCGAAGGAAACCAAATTCACCGAGACGTTATTAAATTTCAAACAATTAAGAAAAAAGGGCTTCAGCTGAAGACCTCGGTCAAGCTTCGTAGTATCTGTCAAAAATGGAAACAATGCGAAAAAGAACCGCTTACTTCTTTCATCTTTCTGAAAGCTTCTGCACAAACTTGTGTACCTCTGGACTCGGTAACTTCGATCGATCCCACGTACTAAAAGAATAAGTTTACAAATAAATTGAGGATTTGAATATCGTCTTTTAACGCTGTATTCTACAACGTTAAGTACCATGCAATCCTTACATTCGAAATACCGCAAATATAAAGAAAAATTCGCGATAAATGCTAACCTTAACTGGGAAACTAACGCCTCCATTCCGAACTTTATAACTGTCGTTCTCCCAAATTTGTGGCCTCACACTCTCCGGTATGTGTCTCTTTGAACTCCTTAAACTTAAACTTCTCTTCAGCCTATTCATTCTAGTAAAATGATATAAAAATACTGACGAAACAAATAAAGTTACGACAAGAACTCACACACAGTTTTCGACTGCATTAGAAAATAAGAAATCTGCTTACGATTGACCGGATGATTCACGCATGCTCAGTGGTTGCGTAATTCAGTTCAAAATGTATTTTGCTAATGAGCAAACAGATTTGTGTGCATACAGGTTTGAAACGGATTTTTCCGTTGTAATATTAGCGGATTAGCACATATTTGTGTTAAGAATTACAGCATAATTTTTAAGTTATTTATTAAAACTGGAAAATGATCGGAATGTGTCTGAGAACTAGGAAGACTCTGCGAATCTGGACGGGCTAGTTAAGCTTTGTTCATGACTTCCGGTTTGAGTCATCCTAGCGGTTGGCGGTACTGAAGTTGGAAGCGAGCTATGGAGTGCACTTTTCAATCAGACCTCACCCACATTGATCAGCACTAAAAATAAACAATAGATTTACCTGCCTTGGCAGTTCGCTCAGTTCGTTCAGCGCAGGCAAGGACTTCCGGTCATTGTTTATTGTCTCGTTAGATCACAGGACAATGGGGACGGAAATGCTCTCCAAATAAACCACGTCCTGCTAGCGACTCCCAAGTTAGAAATGTTTGTTTCATCTGGCTTAGATTATTTAAATGTCCTCAAGCTTCACGTGAAATAAAATAAGAACGGTTCCGAAGAAAAAAAATTTAAAGCGTTTAGATATAAGAAACTAATAATTTATTCAATCCTTATCTTTTTTTTATTTTTTCTCTCAGGATTGTAAGTGCTTCCCGAGTCCCGTGACAGAACTTATAAAGAACGGAATGGTTCATTGTTGTTGAGATGACATTTTTTACATTACAGCTGTAGATTAGATTACGTTTTAACTCTTGTTTAACGCATTGTCGGCGTTTCTTTAACGTTCTTCTTGAAGAAATAAAAATTAAAAAGCATCTCATTTTACTATTTTCGAAAACTCATTCGACTTGCATTTAGACTTAACTGGACAAATAGTAGTCACTATCGGCGTTGAGGTTCATGAGTCTACACACAGCCTATATTCGTCTCAAATTTCCACAAGACTTCAATGTGTCTCTCTTTAAAAAAAAAAAACCTTGGCGGAAACTTCATCTCGTGTAATCAATGGTTTYTTTTTTTTTTTTTTTTTTCCGTTAATTTTCATGGAATTTTGGCCTTCTGAAGTTCTCTTCGCCGTCGTAGGTCGCCGTAAATCACCGGAGCTGTTCGGAAGTTACGGTCCGAAAGCCATTTCGTGCGCCTGCAGTTTATCAGCAGTAAGCACGAAGCAATCAATTTTGGGAAGCGACATTGGTAGCGACAAGGAAGCCGCGAAGCATAGTTTAGTAAAGTTTTTTTCGGGAATTCTTGGTTTGTTTACGACCGATTTAGCGTGTAATGTTTATTACCATTTGTTAGACACCGCCACTATCGAAGAATGCTGAAAGGTCGTACAAACTCTGACGAAAGCGTTTCTTCAACGTAACGTCGTTTATTTAAATAACTCAGCACATTGCATGGTTGGTGATCAATTTAATTATTGGCTTAGCAAAAGTCGAGTGTATTTCATTTTTTCAAATGAATTGGTAAAGAGAAGAGCTGAAACTTGGAAACAGTAATGGCAAGTTTTGATTCAACCGACCTGAATTGTGAGTATGCGCAGTACAAAAAAAATAATGCGTTAATTGCAGGAATCTCCGTCCATGCCATCTTATTTCGTTGATAGATGTTACTACAGACTTAGGTTACTTTTTAATGGGATGCCTTATTAGATAGAATCAACTTTCTCCGTTTATTAGCTTTTAAGGATTTAGTGTCCAGAGAAAGAACTACTTTATTTACCAGTTTGTTACCTCAAGGGATATTGATCAAGACATCTTTGATACGACAGAAATAATATCTCGCCTGGTGTTAACATTTTAAGCTGAATATTTGATTCAGGACTTCAAGTTTTATTTGCATATGGAACTCAAATAGATGCCAAATAGAACCTGCGTTTAGTTTGACACAGTATGGACCCATTTAGCTCTTTCTTTTTTTACCTTTTTGCCTTTTGAATGGGGTGTAACTCAATTCTAGCTTAGTTTGGCCATTGCTGGTACCCATTTACACTCCTGCCAGGCCTGGTTGCTCAAAGGGGGGATGACTCTATCCAATATATAAATCTCTAATCAGCGGGCAATGAGGTGGGAGGTGGCGTGGCCAAGTATTTAGGGTGCTGGACTTCTAATCCAGTGTCCCGGGTTCAAGTCCCCCACCTGCCACTCACTAGATTTGTTCTTGGTTTCCCCTAGTTCAATTCCTCGGCTGCACTCTGTAAATAGCCCTCTAGTCTGCCTCCTGCCAGTTAGGATTTTTAAGCACTTAGTCTACATTGTGGCTGAAAAGCTACTATGGGGGAGTTTCATTTAATTATTATTATTATTATTATTATTATTATTATTATTATTGTTATTATTATTATTATGGCAGTAAAAACTTCTGGATGCCCAGATATCCTGAACAATGATTGGGCAGCAAGTCATAACCAATCAATGCAATGACCAAAGTCCTTATAATTAAAATTCTTATAGCAATTCCTAATTATGGAACCCTAGTAATGAAAGTCCTAAACTTAATTGCAATATAATAAAAACCTCAGTCAAAATACTAAAGGTTCCATACATCACTATCGAAACACTTAAATGTAATGAAACATCTAGTATCCCTTATTTCAATCTTAAAGCGCCTCGCCATATTGAGTGAACTCTGGCAATCCCTAATCATAAAAGCCGTAGTTCTAAACTTAATTACTGTTCAGTAAAATCCTCAATCTAAATATTAAAAGTTCTATAATATCACTATGGTAATGCTTAAATGTGATAAAACATTTAACATCCCTTATCTCAAAATCTTAGAGCGCCTCGCAATATTGAGTGAACTTGTGATGACTGACTTCTGTATCTGCAGAGCTGTTGTGTCACTCTCATCTCACACTAGCTCTTTAAGTGTCTTTCTAACATTTCTTGAATAATCTCCGAGTACATCCACAATAATGTTATATTGTTTTGCCCAATAATCAGGGTATCTCTGTTCAAGCTCCCAGCACAGTGGCCCCTACTTTGCTGTTTTTTCGGCAGCTTTCTCTTCCCTGTTTTCTACCCACAGGCAGCTCATGTTGATCACCAATACTTTCTTGTTCTCCCTGTCCGTATCATTATTATTATTATTATTATTATTATTATTATTATTATTATTATTATTATTATGTTAACAAAATGTACTGCACTATCCAAGGGGAAGAGATTTATCCAGTTGATAGCATTATCTCCCCTTTGAACAGCCCAGGCCTGATTGGCAAGAAGTACAGTAACATTAAAGTAACTTGCCCTAAAAACAATACATTGATCCAGCTCGGGCTCAAACGTGGACCTTTCGATCTACAGTCCAATCTGTTTCAGTAATAGAACTCATTTTTCTGGGTGCTATAGCGCAACAAAACCATGGAGGATGTTTGGAGAACATGAGGAAAGCTAAAAATCTTGATCCTATGTTGAGCAATTTATAAGCTATGCAATTGTTCTCCCAAGATTCCAAGCAGCTTTCTCACATTATAGAGCCCATTAAAAATGCATTCCATTGCTTTTATGATGTAACTAGTTACATGTGGGCTCTATAACCTAATTAATAATATAGATGAAAAATTTCTCAGTTCTGATTGGTTAAGATGAATGCAGTTTTCAGTTAATTCAGTGCAGAAGAGGGTTAATTCAGTGCAAAGAAAGAAAAAAACCGGACATTCTGATTGGTCAGAATGATTGGTCAAGGTTAATGTCACTTGCAGGGTTTGAATAAATTATTTTTGCACATGATGTGCATGCTTTTCTTCCGCGTAGTTATGAGAAGCTACCTCGTATTTTTTCATGTATATTATTAATACATAATCACATGATTTTTTTGTGAAATTTGGAATAAATAAGCACTTGTAAATTTTTTCAAAGACCACAAATTGCACTCACCCTACGGGCTCATGCAATTTTGTTAGTCTTTGAAAAACTTTACTCGCGCTTATTTATTCCAAATTGCACTTGAAATCATGTGATTACCCATACAAAACATCTGCTTGGAAACTGAAATGACCAATCAGACAATGTGCAGTATGTTCATTCAGTTATAATAACCATTAGTCAAGAATAGCTTGTTTTTTCCGTTTTGAAAATTGGAATTTCAAGGTAATTCTTGTTCATTTTTTCAGTGGACCAAGCAGTAACTAACTTACCCAGACACCCCATAAAAAGATTTGAACCAACTTTGCGCAAATTTCAAGTGGCGCTTCCAGCAGATATTGCCAGACTTCAGCAACACAAGACAAACATGGAAAAGGTAAGTGATCTGTAATATTTTAGTGTACTATCTGCAATGAAATGTTGGGGAGGGAAGTAAAAGGATAAGATTTTGGCAAAGGGATTTGAAACCACCTTGTCTGAGCTGGTTGAATGCCTTCTGTTTGTGAAACTTTGGCCTCAGTAGTCAGCCATAATCTTACCCTGTTACTATGTTCAATCTCACTTCCTGAGATGACCAAGATGCATGCACACATCCAAGTTTGATCTCAGCGGTGGGGGGGCAGAGGTTTTTGTACACACATGTAGGAGAATTTTCTGTGTGTTTTTAACCCCTTAACTTCTAAGAGTTACAAGATTCTAAATTCTCCTTACAATATCAACCTTGAATCCACCTTTAAGGTCACAAGAAAATATAATGATCACCAACTAATGACACTCCTGATCATTAAACAAATTCTCTTTGTCAACACCTTAGAAAATGTATAGAGAACAGTACAGAGAATATGCATACTAATGTTAGGGTGTAAAAGGTTAAGGAAGATTAATAGATAGAGATCTTGTAGACATGGCCAATGTGGCTGGTTAGATTCTTGTGAAGAGTTCTGAGGTCCTTGGAAAACAGATTGCAACTACCTGTTTATGCCAATTTGTCTATTATTCATTATTTTCGTGTCAATTTTTTTGTCTTGCAGTTTTACAGTTCAGAAGCTTGGTTTGAACTAAATAAAGAACAAATCAATGCTGCAAGGACAGTTCAGGTATACTATTTGAAGGTTGTAGTAATTGAGGAAATGATCACCAACCAAAGGAGATCTTGATTGTAAAACAAATTCTCCCTGTCAGAACTTTAGGAAATAAGTTGAGAAAAGTATGGGGAATATATGTGTGCGGATGTGAAGGGTTATCTGTCTTGATTTTACAGCAATTGAAATCCCACTTGAAAGAGATGGAAAAAATACGAAAACAAGTACAGGTGTCAGATATACCTGAGTTTGACCAAGGAGTTAAGCCGCTGCAGGAGGAAATCTTGGCTGGAGTCAGCTCTTTTAGAGAGGTGCAGCAGATGTATGCTCGGGAAAAGCAGGACAAGGAACCCAAGAGAATGCCTTTTGCCAGATACAGAGATACTAGTAAGATGTCAGAACATTATTAACAGCTAGTTTTTCTTGCAAATTTATTAGAACGGAACTAAAAAAAAAAAAAGTCTTTTTATAGGATTACACAATTACTGGTGAACCAGTAGTTTCCATTGTGGTCCTTGCAAATGAAACAAATGGTCTAAATTGAACATAACATCATTAAGAACCCCAACCGGCCGGAGGCAAACCAGTTGGCTATTTACAAGCATCATGCCAAGGATCTGAACTCGGGGCTACTGTGAAACAGATCCAGTGGTCAGGGTGGGACTCGAACCTGGGAGCGGCGGATTACGAGTCCAACACTCTGACCACTCGGCCACGCTGCCTCCGTCAATAAGTACTTGTCTATGTACTTATTGACTGATTGGGAGGCCTGGATGGGAAAATATTTGGTTGTATAGACCGATGCACATATATCATGATGTATAAACCGATGCACATATATCATGATGTATGGACCGATGCACATATATCATGATGTATAGACCGAGCACATATATCATGATGTATAGACTGATGCACATATATCATGATGTATAGACACAGCACAGCGAGGTTTGTGTCTCATCACCCAGAGCCAAATATTTTCCTGTCTGGCTGGACCAAACTCAGTTAATCAGCATGATAAACCACTAAGTGTTGAAAATTTCAACCTAAATAGATGAGAACACAGCCACACGAGCACAAAAAAACTCTGGAAATACAACTTTTCCTTTATTTTTCAAGCCAAAAGGAGAAACTCCCAATCCTGGAAAAATGCAACTTGTTTTTTTTTTCTCATTTCTGATTTCCTTTAAGTTTTCTAGAAAGCAGTAATATATACCAATCGATCTAAGCATGGTAGTAGAATTTTGACTTCAGGTCATTTGATAAAAATTTCAAGTTAGTGTATGACCGAATAAATCACCGAGCTAATCACAAGCAACTTTAATAGTTTCCAAATCACAAAGTTTACCTTAGCCTAGTTCATTCTCATAAACACCCAATGTATCTTTGTTAATAAAGTGATGTAATTTTGTTCAGTTTTTGTTAAACTTTTTAAATCTTTTAGCATTACCCCCAGTGACTACAACAGAGCCTGATGGTAACTCTCAAAAGCTTCAGACCTTAGTTGTAGTAGACAAAGATGCAGTTGTATCCTGGGACTCGCTGAGATCGGTGAGCTTCTTTTATCATCTTCCCAGGACTGACTAAAAATGAATTTCTCCTAACAATATCAGTCCGTGTTCCAGCAGAAAGGTGAAGAAAAGTATCAAATATGATTTTACGCAAAATTCTCTGATATAAGATTATAGGAAATATATGGCAAACAGTGTTGAGAATCTTAATTCAGATCTAGAGAGTGAATTGAACTGATTATTTTAATTATTCAGAAAACTCAACTTCAAGTGTAGTTTCCTTTGCAGTTGTCGTTTGATCTTGTCACACAACAAAGAGCAAGCTCATTGCGTGGCCAGACCAAACAACAGCTGCAAAGCAGTGTATCTTTCATTTCTTTTTTATCTTTGCAGGGTTTAGTAGAATTGAATGAACTAATTCATGACTTCTCAGCTATAGTTCATGTGAGTACTGTAGTTTCCTATCATGAAATTTTAATATAACATAACCAAAGTAAAGCGCGCGCTCTGATTGGTCAATTCAGGGTCTCCCATTTGCCCATGGGTGTACGCTGCTGACGTGAGCAAATGCAAAGACAATTTTTCCGCGCGCGCTTGTATTTTCTGGTCACGTAAGATTTGTTAAATAAAAGGGAACTCTTTAGCTACGATGTATCAATGTTATGTTATAAAACAAATGGTAAACACCACAGCGTACACTATTGAGTTATGGATGCACTTGGGAGGTTTGCTAAGCACTCAAGAAGTTAGAGTCGCTCTCGGCTATCGCCTCGCGCGACTCTTACGCTTCTTTCGTGCTTAGCAACCTCCCGCGAGCATTCATAACTCGATAGTGTATGCTGTGGGGTTTACCATTTGTTAACTGTAGTTGATGACCGATGGATTTACGCGGCATACCGCAAGAGGATCTGGTAGCAGTTGCCGTCTTAAAAGAAATATACACTCGATTTCAAAAACGCATTTTCAATAAACGGTGGGACATGGGTCAGATGTATGTAATAACCACCATCAGTTACACGCGATAAATGATGGAAGCTATCTAAGCTTTTCTGAAAGAAAAGGATTATCTTGGGAAAAAAATTTTGACATGAATAACGAGGAGATAGAATCACTGCTAATGTATCTGTGCAATGATTTCCCATGAAGCCGTTGGGTCTCTTTTGTGATGTTAAATCATTCATTTGTGAATTTTAGGAGCAACAAGACACAGTCGACTCCATAGAAGGCAACATTGAGAGCGCTCAAATTAATGTAGAGGAAGGCACCAGAGCATTGGGAAAGGTGGGTGAACATTATAGGGCGTGGCATAGAGGATCACGGGTTCATTTGATCCCCTCTTTGAATTAATGTAGAGGAAGGCACCAGAGCATTGGGAAAGGTGGGTGAACATTATAGGGCGTGGCATAGAGGATCACTGGTTCATTTGATCCCCTCTTTGAATTAATGTAGAGGAAGGCACCAGAGCATTGGGAAAGGTGGGTGAACATTAAGGGCGTGGCATAGAGGATCACAGGTTCATTTGATCCCCTCTTTGAATTTAGCGAAATTCAAAGATGATTGAACGTTCAATTGCGCGTTTGCCATTCGGATATTTTCCACCGAATTCTCTCTTACACTGTAACTGCATCATACAAAATGATACAGAAAGGAAACATAATGAACAAAGAAGATGTTTGCTGTGATGTGAATAGTTTCATCTTGTAAAGTATAGTGTATGTTCAGGATTGAATACTTGTACGACGTGAAATATTCCATTCTGTTTACATACAAACACAGATCTCTGCTTTTCCAAGTTTTTGAAATGTTTTGATTTATTGGTCAAACCCGAGCAAAAACTAATCCGGCACAGATTACGCGCAACATTGGAGAATTGTGTCATTGGTATGGAACTTGTGGATTATTCCCCGTGCACGCCAGCTAAACATGTTTTGTTAAACCTGGTTTAGCTGAATAAAACTCAACAAAAGAAACTGAAAGACTGAATGCTACAGAGGGTTCACTAACTCTTATTCTTCACTGCGCTAAATTGGAAGTCGAGAAACATCAGTTTAGGCGGCTTCTGTTAAAAAAAAAAATTCAAACTGCGTTTGACAAAACAGCTTTAAAACGTGTTTTTGCTTTGGTGTGAAAGGCGTACAAGTTTCGTGCGTCCATCGTGTGAGAGGAAGGATTAAAGTGAGCTAAGACGTGATGATGTTACTTAATAAAACGTGTGTTTTTTTCTTTTACTTTTTCAGGCCAGCAAACTCAAAGGATTTGCCTATCCGGTGGTTGGCGCGTTAGTTGGTGGAGTGTGTGGCGGTCCTTTAGGCTTAGCCATTGGAATAAAGGCCGGAGCAGCCATAGCGCTTGGGGGAGGGATGTTGGGATTTTTTGGCGGAAGATACTTCAAGAAGAAAGAAGAAGAATCCGTTGATATCCAGCTTGACAACTTGAGTTCCAGCAGAGAAGTTAAAAAGTATCGGTGAAGTTTCCAAAGAGAAACTTTTGATACTCAAGGCGGAATATGTTTTGTTCTAGATGGCTGTGAGACAATTTCCAACGCAATAGTTTTCTCGTTTGTTCCGTGTTCTCTATTTAAGTGTTCTCAGCATAAATGTAAGGAGTATAAAGCGAGTGGCTGACGAGCAGGGAATATCAACACTACAAAATGACTTAAATTAGTCATATTTTCAAGCAAAGCTTCAAAACGGATTGTTTTGAACTCACATGAAAACTTAGACGGGATTTTAGTGAGGTATTTACATCATGAATCAAAGAATCATTTAGCGAAAGTGTAAATAATTATAGGACTATATGCACTGCTAAGAATTAGGTCTGACAGAAGTCCTTCAAGTTAACGACAACGGATTCGTTATATTGGGAGTCAGGTCTAGATATGCGAGAATGAAAATAGATAGTCTAAAATTTTTGTAACTTAATAAACTACAGGTTACAGAGACCTGCGCTTGGAGTGAAAAACTGATTTTTTCTTTCTCATTACGCATACCCGGTGCAAACAGTTTCGAATTTCCTCTGTGCGAGCACTTGTATCTTATTCCACTTCAGACTGAATTTAATCGCAAGCGCGACCCTAGCGTGCAAAGAGTGATGTATATTTACACTGGCTTCGGTCCTGCCAACAGACAGCTAAGAACCCCCAATTTCAAGATTTCTTTTTCTCGGGAATGTAAATTGGTCGTAATCTGCGCGGTTTGTAAATACAGTGTGGTGACGCAGGACAGCCAACAATTAACACGTGATTGTCATTCAGCCACAGTCGCCACAAACTTTTATGGACTCCCCTCGGATCTAAATCCCATATTTTCAAGCAGTTCGCTACGTTTGACCATGTTGTGAAGTCGTAAATGCTGTCCATTCTTATATAGAACACGTAGATCTTGTTCTTCGCCAGAGGAACAAAATCGTTTGGGTTCGTACATGGAGTTCTTGAGTGATCTAAGACTACAGCTTCTCTGAAAAAAAAAAATTAAGAATGGAAAAAATTTAAGATAAAAAAATTATGGCCGTAGCGGAAGTGGCAGTGCGTGTACGCTAGGCTCTGGGTTGAGAGGTCTGGGTTCGAGATCTGGCCAGTTCATTGTGTTGTGTTCTTTAACAAGAAAACGAAGCCCTGCTGGATGAGCCACTTAGCGCGGGTGCAGACCTTACTTTTTATTTACATCACTACTTAATGTTTTTCAGTTCTATTTAGCACTGATTGGCTGATGCAATAACGTTGGCTTAAACAAATATCACATGAGAGCTCAATAGATGTGAACAGCGGTTAAGGCGCGGGAAAAACGCTTTTGATTCAACTTTGAATATAAATGGTTGAGAGATCCGCGGGGATGTGGTCGACCAAACACAGTTCAAATCCAATGAAATCCTGAATTAATTTTGTCAATAAACTGAAACGATTTTTACCTAAGTAACCGCTGTAGCTCCTTTTCATAATTCTCCTTGTACATGATATCCACGTTCAACTTTACATTTGGCTTAGTATTCAGCGCACGGGCGGAAAAGTAAGTCCTCTGCATGTATGGGTTCACATTCAGTCCCCTGGCCCCAAAATGATAGGTGCGAGGGATGTCCGGTATAATGCACTCTCGGCCCTTTCTTACATGTGGGCCCCTTATCCACATGTCCCAATCCCACATCACTTCGGGACCTGGCCACTGAGGTTCAAGTTCTTCTTTGTACAGTTTTCGCCCCAGAACCCTAAAGATCAAGTGTAGAAATTAGCCTTACAATTTTCCTTAGCAGCGGGCAAGATGGACCATCTTAACTGCTTGGTTAGCCAATCAGGACACAGGATTCACTCCATATTGCCCACGGGCGCTGCCAGCTATATAACAATACGTGCTTTTTATGACAAAGGCTGATAGTTTCTAAAGAAACTGTTTGGGGCTGCGTCGGTGGGGGTAACGAAATAATTTGAATATATCAACAAAGTTGAAATGGTAAATTGGCCACCGTTACGATTATAAAAGCTGACGTTTCTAGCGTTGGCCCTTCGACGAATATTCAAATTATTTTTTTATGACAGTGCGCGCTAGTGTGTGTGTGTGCGCGTTATTGTATGATAGTATTCCGTTGTGCTTTTTAAGTGTGCTACTATGTGACGGTGAGTGATAGAGATTTCTGGTCAGTGGTACTGCGCGAATGTCGCACTATTCTGTAATAGTGTTACTAGTCATAAAAATCGCGTGAATAGTGCGGTAACTGGCCGTGCGTGATAACAGTCTATGGTGTCTGGTAGTGCGTGATTGTGAGCAATGGTGCGTGTTAGTCTATGGTAGTGCTATTAGTAATGTGTAACTGTACGTGATAGCGCGGGCTACTTTGTGAAAGTAGGTGGAAGTGTGGGACAAAGCATAATACCGAGTGATAACAAGCACTCAAGTCAGCCCTGTTTGGTCGCTAGACAGTAAGCCTGTCGACCAAAATTAGAAAAATACACTCGCGTAATGTTTACCATCCAAGTCCTGGCATTGTCTCAACTCTGTAGATCATTGCTGGATCCTTAACGGCGTGTGTGTAACCCTGATAAAGACAAATTTTTATCACTGGAAGGTTAGCTATATTATTCTTTTTTATTCGTTACGGTGGCCAATTTACAATTTCAACTTATTTGATATAACCAATTAACCACAGATGGCTACGATATTTCATTTGCATGATTACCATGGTACTCATTCGCATCGCTAACAAACAGTGATTTATTGGAGGCTGATTTAGAGAAGTCAATTGAATCCTTAAGAGCTTCTGCCGTTGTTTTATGAAGCGGTCTCTCTATTTTTTCATTGGCTTGCAAGCTATTATTTGCACTGCGACAAGAGCGGTGAAACTCGCAATATTCGTGCCGGCCCTAGTGGACCCTGTAGATCTCGCACGTCTGTTATCGCAGCGCCAATTAAAGCCTACTTGCAAGCTGTTTTTCCTTTACTCCCTCCGCTTCCTTTCTCTTATATTTTAATTTCTCCCCTTCTGCCTTTTCTTTAAATTCCTTCATTTTCCTTTCTTCTCTTTTCCTTGTCTCCCCTCCCTCCCCTCCCCCGGGCCTTTCATCGATGATTTTTACTAGTCAGCAATTTATCCGTGTATTCATCTCTCATTTTTCATTCATTGCTTTCGTTTCTTTCATTTTTAGTTTTTTAAAATCTTTTGCCAGACACACAAACTACTACAGTGTCGGAATTATTTACCTGATCATTCCAAGCTGATATACAATAAAGGCTGTCATCGTTTTCCAAGACCGGAAGTAACTGATTAAAAAAGGTGAGGATATCTGGAGATACATCAAGGTCTTCCTCGAGGATGACCACAACACTAGCATCAGGATAACGAGCAAAAGAGGCTGTGAGCGATCTTTTGTAGTGCTGAAAAAAATAATGAATGTCAAACTTAAGGGAAAGCTTGGACGTGTGGGAAAGTACACTTGTGGGATTTTAACTCTCTCATGTGCGCGCAGGACTTTTCTGATAGGCAAAGTCGCTCGGAGAATAGCAAAACAACTGTGTTACGAAATTGAGCAGATATTTGTTTTCAGCACGTTCTGAATAGCATTTCGTGTTTATTAGTGAGTGTTTCGGTACGTCTCATGATTTGTAGTACCGTGTTATTTAGCGTATTTTTAAATTAAAAGTTAGTGCAGCATGGCACCATCTTCAATTAAGACTTCTATTACCAAAGCTAAAGTGATAAAATTTCGAAAAGCCAAGCGCGGTAAAATTCATGTGATCACATCGTGATTGACTTCACCTTTGCATCTGATTGGTTGAGAAAGCAGAACAAGCTTCCTTAAACCAATCATTGAGCTCTGCATAGTACCTGCGCGATCCTTGCATTTAGTTCACTGACTCCCTCGTGTTGATCGACATTCAGCCCATACAAACCGGCAAGTAAAGCTGGCTCCTCCAGGAATCCGTCGATAAACACTGTTACCATCGAACCATTCAACCCATGGACCTGTCGTAGCGTCTTAAGCATTCTGTACAAGTAATAAGGGCGGTTACTAGCCATGATCAGCACTGGAAGGTTGATTCGACTGCCATCCGGTAATAGGGGAGGCTCAAAGTCTAACACATCTGGATTCTCGCCTGAGAAAGAAAACAAAAAAAGAGACTCCTTTAGTGATAGAAACATGCTTCAAAGGGACGGGTCATTAGCTTTCACCTGAGGGAGGGAGGGGTTGGGGAATTTTGGTTATGCTACAATAAAATTTACCCGATCCCAACCATAAGGCTTTATAGTATTCTAATGGTCCTTTCTTATTGACAGTTATAATTTTGGTGCCTCCCTTCCCCCCCACCCTTCTCCCCCATGGTGGTTGCGTACAAAAATTGTTATAAAAAAAGTCTGTGCTAGTAATTGCATAGTTAACGAGCAATAATTCCAGCTGCAATCATTTCAATTCTGGCAAGTACTGATTAAGTCCAAGGAAGCCAAAGATGAGAGAGAATTTGAGTAAAATTCACAGCTCTCAGTTCCCAGTTATCAGATCGGTCAGTTTTGTACGTGTAAGTGTTTCCGGTAATCAGTTTTCTCAGTGTTAACCCTTACATTTACAAATATCTTCGTAGCCGTCAAATTTATCGCAAAACTCCTTCCTTCGGCGGTTATCATCCTTTTTTACCCATTGGCACTCCGTCGTGCTTTGCTTTGAGATTGGAACTGTAGTGTGGATTCTGACAGGAGCCGCCCACTCCTTGTTACTGGCTGAGTGCTGATAACCTTCAGCGCACACCAGGTTTTCATTGTCTACATCTTGCGTCACAAATGCCCACATATCACGCCATTGTAGCTGTTGTATGTAGCTGCTACCACGGCTTCGGAGGAAGCTCCGAGTGGATGTCAACAGACTTACAGTGGCTTCATCCTGTTGAGAAAATATTTTCAAGATATGTTTTATTTTTGTGAGAAACATGAGATAATTAGACACAGAATCGTAGAATCGCCTCGATTTTTTCAACCACATCGATGAACAAACTGATAACAAGAAAGTATAAGCGGTCACGCTAAGAAATACCTTAACAGCCAGACAAAGTATCCGTCCATCTGGCAGACTGCTGATGAATTCCATCATCTCTGTGGACTCCTGGTTTGTTGAATACGTATCAAATCTCCTCCAAGCTGTGACAGCTCCAGTGTTTTGATTAAGAACCACAACATTCATTCCAAGACGATTCAGCTCCTGATAAACCTGATATAAAAAAAGAATTGAAGGCACTCAGCTACATCGAGGTAGGTTTGACCGTTAGACAAGGGAATCCCTAGTCACATAACTTTGTACTTACCAATTTCATTGCGTACTTACTATTTTTCCATTCACTACCACTGACGCGTTTTCTTTGCTGGAGTAAACTTCTATGTCTAAAAATCCTACACATCGAAACAAGAACCAGACGACAATTTCATTAAGAAAAGGAGGTTTGTTCACAGACGAGACACGATACTCTAGCGCGAGACCGGGGACTGGATGAACTCAGCTTAGGAATGTTCACACAATGAGACGCACTTTTCATGGATATCATCCCTTTTCACTCTCCTCCTGTAATTCGTCCAGTTTTTCCAACTGAAAATTTAAAGTTTTGCGCAATTCAAGGCGTTCTCTACAAAGAAAGGACTGGGAACACTGTCTCTTGCTATAAAGAGAATGACGTAGAATCATTATTAGTTTGCGTTATACAGGAAATTTCGTTGTATTACCTCTAGTATCTATGCACAGTCGAGAGTTTATAATTTTTAGTCTCTTGTCACAGCAAGAGATTATAAACAGTTTCTATTATCTCGTCACAAGATATTCCTAGGTACTAAAAGGCATTGTGAGAGAAACATTTCCTCCCTAAGACCCCAGCATGATGATCCATCCCAGATTTCTACCCTAAACCGCTGGATCATGAGGTAAACTTCTTAATTTATAGAGACTGACTTGGTCGTAATAGATGGTAGTTTTGCCAATTTTCACGTGTATAAAATTGCCATTTAACTTTGACACAGCAAATGTACGCACAATCACACGCACAATATTGAAAACACGACCTCCCGCGGTATTAAAATTAGTTCCTTTCACCAGTCATAAAAAAATATAAACATTAGGGAGCCGATAAACTTACTAAAAATTATCCAAACCCAGAGAGACTTATTACCTTTTGTAGTTGTCTTTACGATATTACTTTTGGTTGCTTCATGATCTCTACGAGATGATCGGTGAGGATCTTCCCGATAGGTTAAACGCTTTTCACCTTCGCTGTTCATTTTTCGCGTCTCCAGTAGGAATATTATATTTCCGAAAAAAGTAAGACATACTGCTGCACACAGTAGCACTCGAATGAGAACTGCCAATGTGAACTTCTGCTTGATTCTGAAAACAGCTCTCGACGAGGATGCCTGTCGAGTCAAACTTGAAACCAATTTTGCCATTTGTTTCTTCATTGTTTTTTGGCTGATTTATCTACGAAGCGATTGTGCATGATTTTTTAGACAAAGCCATCAGCCGAAATAATTTGCATTCATCGATGACGTGGAAACAAAGAAAATGAAAAATGTTCGAAATTTTTACGATTTCGATTTCCGTAGCCTAGGAACCATACGATAAAATCTCCCAAAACAATGCAAAAAAACAAACACACAAAAAATAATAATAATAATAATAAATAAAAAAAAAAAACAGAGCCGACCTCCAGCGCCAAAATTATCAATTATTATTATTATTGATCTATCTTTTTGTGAGATTTCATATTTTACACCGAGGGGGGTGTTTTTAGCACTGTTTTGAGTTGTTACATTTTTCGAGGTTGTTGTCACCCCCTCTCTCATAGAAACTGTTTAGACAGATGTCGCCAAAAGGCTCTCAGTCTCCGACTTAGAAACTTCATCGCCAAGAAATGTAGTAAGTTAACCGGTTAACGGTAATATCTAATTGTCCTCATAAAGATCTTTTGTTATTGATACAAGTTCTTATGATGAAAAACGATCCAGAGTAGAAAGGTTTGCACCGGTAACTGATTTGGTGCAATAGAAAAGTTAAAAAAAAAATAATAATAATAATTCAAAGGAGGATAAGCAGCTTTTATGCTGAGGCTCGAAAAGAAATTGTGCAAACGAGGTCTTTGAATTGAAGTCTAAAAATGTTTTATTATTGTGGTTCAATTTCTTGTGAAGCACAAATGTGCAAAAAATATAAAATTATCTTCATGATTGTTTACTGTTCGGGATTTTCAAACCGGTGAACGTGATTCAGCATTTAGAAGACTTTCCAGGGGAGTGTTGAGAATTCGCCAAAATTGCTCATGCCTCACTTTTTATCCAGGCTATGCAATTGGTTTAAAAACTCTAGCATGTCACTCACTCAACCAATCAGGTGCAAAGCTAATGCCACTCACGATTTGACCACGTGTGTTCTCCTGCGCTCGGCACTGATGATGAGATCGTGTCTGCGACTCCAGCAATTAGATGCAGCCAAGATAGTCTGAGGTAGATCATTTCATTTGCCTTTTGTTATTGATCACTGTAATAGTGTCGATGTTAAGCTTGTAAATCAGTCACACTGTGACGGATATCAAAACGCGTTTTACATCGATGCGTTTTTGAATCCATCCTTAACACTTCCAGGCCCGCTGTCAATGGGTCTTGGAAGACAAAATCTCAAACTCCAATCTTACTTGGCAAAGAATCTATCATCGGGCGGTCTTGTTTCCTTATTTGGCATATAAATAGCATCGACATTAGTCGGTTTGTGACTGCAATAAGGTGACGCAGGACACCCAACATATAAAACATGATTGCCTTTGATCCACATCCTCCACAGACTTTTATGGAATCCACGGGCTTCTAAATCCCAGATTCTAAAACATCTAGCAACGTTTATCCATGTGGTATAGTCTTTTGGCTGCTCCATCCTGATGTAAAACACGTATACCTTGTCTTTAGTGTCAGGTATGAAGTCTTTAGGGTTTGTACAAGGTGTCCTTGAGTGATCAAGAACTTCAGCTTGGCTGTCGTGATAAAAGAAAAGAGTTAACGAAAAGCAAAATAAGGTTGTCTTTCCCACAAAATTGTAGACAATTTTCGAATTGAGTATTTGAAGACATTAAGAAATCGACAGTCTGGACTATTATGGACAACGATATTCGTCATCACAGTGGTCAAAATGTTGTGTACTCACGAGCTGAAACCAGTTTGCTTTTGCTTTTATCGACTTCGTATCAAATGATTGTTTAAGTGCGCGACACGTTGTGTGACGCGTTAACAGGAGCAGCGCTGTCTGTACACTTGTCGACAAAGGTAAATTGCCCTATCAGATTGCGACATTACTGCCAATTGTGGTAAAATCTAGGATGGAGTGGGTTTTCCCTTACCTTGCTCTTTGATTGGCTTAAAAACTTAAGCAATCCTCTTCGCAAATCAGCCAATAACTTATGGACCACAGTTACTTAATAGGAAACCAGATAAATAAGGGGTAAGTTTCTAAAGAAACTGTGGTGCTGTTTCCGTGGGGGTAACAAGGTCATTTGGTAATATCAACTGAGTTGAAATTGTAAGTTGGCCACCGTAAAGGATTAAAAAGCTGACGTTTCGAGTGTTAACCTTTCGTCAGAGCGAATTCGCCCAGGAAACCAGATAGTTTGCTTCTTTCTTCTTTGAGTTCTCACAGGCTCTTTGTAATATTTCCCATTTTTTCTGTTATGGTTAGGGTTAGGCTTTAAAAATTCAATTACAGTGCACCCCAACTAACTAGTACGTGGAACCTTTAATTCAAGCAAGCCTTTTTTCCGATAGAGATAAAAGGGAATATGCGCTTGCGCATGTATTTAACGGGCACCCTTACTTGTAGTAAATCACTGGCTCCTTCACGCTGCGCGAAAGGGGATATGCCACGGGCCGTGCAGCTTCGCGCGCGCTTTTCTCTAAAAATATTTTAAACAATTTCTGCATATGAAGACCGAACGCTATGGCACAAGCAGGGTCAGACAAAACCGCACAGCCTCACCAACGGCTCAGGGAAGTGAGAACAGAAAGAAAGAAAGTGAAAGTGCGGTGGCTAGTGGAAATGTCAACTGATTTAGTTAGATCGTACCACGCGGGAAAATTTTCAGCTCTCGCTAGCTTGGTCAGCACGTCAGATATTTTCTCATCAGGTTCTACCCCTCGGTCGATAAAGAGGTATTTACCTCAGTAGTCGATTTATCTCCTTCTCATAGTTGTCCTTGTACATGAGATCTGCTTTTATCTCGACATCAGTTTCCTTATTAAGCGCGTGTCTTTTAAAATAAGCTTCGTTCATAGCTGGGTCTACGTTCAGACCCTTTGCCCCAAAATGATAGGTGCGAGAGATGTCCGGTATGATGCACTCTCGGCCCTTCCTCTGCGAAGGCATCCTCATCCACATGTCCCAATCCCAGAATACATTAGGAGCAGGCCACTTGGTTTCTAGCTCTCCTTTGTATAGTTTGCGACTCAATACCCTATAAAAAAAAATTAAAGTCTAAAAATTGAAAAAATCCTTTTCAGTGATCAGATAATGAAAATATAATTACTTCGATATCTTCCATCGTCCCTTCCCTCCCCCCTCCACGGGATTCTCTTCCCCTCCCCCATCTCCTTCCCTGGCGAGATCGTTTCGCGGTTTGGTGCAAACCAAAAATTTCTCGCCTCATCGTGTTAACAAAATACTCAGCAAAGCAGGCTAAACCAGGCCCTATTTCAAGCCAGAAGATATCTTGTTTTTTTCTAACTAAGCCACGACTGGTTTTATTTCTGGATGTCTTCCTTAAAGGGCCAGCATGGTTCGAGATTGCAAGACCGATCTCACAGCTCAGTAAAGCAAAACCAATCCCTGATCCTTAAGCTTATTCCTTCCGAACGCTCAGTTGGTACTCACCACCCAAGGCCAGGCATAGTTTCAATCCTGTACGTCATTGATGGATCATGCACGGTGTATTCATAACCCTGCGTGAAAGCGAAAAATCATCAACATCAACTTGTTTTCTACTTATGTATATTGAAGCCCTATTAGTGCACCTTGAAGCAAGTCACAGCAGTGTCACTTGTTGCATAGCATAGTCGATTTGGTCTGTGCCCTGCATTTTCATAATCAGCTGTATCAATTAAAAATCTTTCTGTCTTATTTGGGAGAAGCACTGCCAATCCCATCCATAAATTCTTTTTCCTTCGTGGCCATTCTTTAGGATGTTAAGCGAAGCCAACGATTCGTTTGAAGGAAGATTGCGTGACATTCCAAAAAAAAGGCTGCAAAGGAGACTAGAAAACACCGCCCCCTATCTTAGTATCCTTTCTCCCAATTTAACTTAACTCAATTCATAGATATCTCTATCGAACCGTACGTTTTACGTTTTTCAAACCTGATCGTTCCAAGCTGATATACAGTAAACACTTTCATCGTTCTCATAGACCGGGAGAAGCTGTTTAAAGTAGCTAAGAATGTCCACAGACACATCAAGATCTTCCTCCAGAATAACCAAGAAATTAGCGTCGGGGAAATTGTCAAAGGAGGTTGTTATCGACTTCTTGTAATGCTAAATACGAAATAAGTAAATGAATAAGAGTTCAGATGAAGAGTTACTAATGCAAGATGAGATCCAAATGGGTGCGCGCGGGCGCGACGAGATCTCTTAGGTCCACTCGTTGCGCACGAGTTTCCACTCGAACAACGCGATTTTAAAAGGCAAAGGTTAGACAACACTTTTAAAGGCCTTACACCTCAGTAACATTCAAGTCTCACCGTCTCTCTTCTCGCTCTTGGAGTTGCTATAGAGGACGCAGGATAGGAGGGTACGCGTTGTATTAAACACCAGTGGGATTACGGGTTTAACTTTTCCCGCAAGCAGGTTACCGAGGGCTTGATAGGAGGAACAAACACAAAGTTACCCGGGTTACTTTCAGTCCTTGCGTGTGGAACTCTATGCGAGGGCACCAGTCCGAGAGTGCGCGATTGTAGATAAAGGAGAGAGGGGGGTCCCAATTACACGTCGCACAAGTGTTATAAAAGTTGTTAAAGAGATTTGAGTCAAGGTAACGTCCAAATTCGCTTCGATTAATTCAACATAGGGAACTCTACAGAAGTAAACTTAGGTGAATATAAAATAGGGTTTTGAGAACTCAGCATTAGCTCGACCTTCGTTTACCTGGCAAATCCTTGAGTTCTTTTCACTGACACCCTCATGCTGATCTACCTTCAGACCAAACAGCCGTGCAATTGAGGCGGGTTCCTCAAAGAAGCCGTCAATAAACACAGTTACCATGGCAGGATTCAAACCCCGGACGTTTTGTAGAGTCTTGAGCATTCTGAACAAGTAGTGAGGGCGATTACCGGCCATAACCGATATTGGCAGATCAAGGCGACTGCCATCTTCAAGAGGGGGTGGTAGGAAATCGATTGATTCTGAATCCTTGCCTAAAAAGAGCATTATTATAGTGGCATTGTCATTTCTAACCGAAGCTAAAAGATCAAGTCAGACGACGTGAAGGGAGTACATGTATGGGACAGCACGTGCAATCGAGTGGACGGTGCAATTGAAGGGAGAAACGCGAAGGGAGTACATGTATGTGACATCACGTGCAATCGAGTGGACCGTGCGAGTAGCCTTGTACCAGCAGTTGTAACTACATTTCAGTTACACGGTAGGATCTGGGTACAAGTTTGACGTGCGATTTCCTATTTAAACTTTTACGAGACTGGCTAGACTATTATCAGTTTTTCTTTTTTTTTTTGCTCATTCACTGTAACTGCCAACAAGTCCGGTTTGAACGCGCGCTTTAAAATTTATTCCCATTGCGGTCAATTGCGGTTGCTAAAGGAACAAAATTATTACTAGTTATTACAAAACAAAGCAATCGGACAAACGTTGTACGATTTTGTGGACACAAAGGACAGAAAACTAAGAGTTGATCGCAGCAAAGGACTCGACGTTGATCTCAAGGACTCCGATACTTCAGTCCTGAATTTTTTACTGAGAAGCTTAAACAAAGCAAAATCATACGAAAAAGTCTAACAGAATATAAATCAACGTGAGAGAAAAAATGCGAAAACCAATAAGAAAAATACGCGTGCAAAACACAAAAAACGGAACGTAATGAGAATACCGCACAAACACTCTCTTGAATTTCTATTTCAAAAAGGAAAAATCATTAATTTCGGGAGAAGCGGTTACGACATTTAGTTCTCGGAGTGCCTCTCTCTCTACTCAGGAGTATGAATAAATATTTGAACTTGAATGGAGTACTCACAGTGACAAACCCGTCCATATCCTTCAAATTTCTGGCAGAATTCTGCCCTACGACGCCCTGTATCGCTTTGCTCCCAGTTGCATTCACTAGTCACGCCTGTCACCCGCCTCAGATAAGCTCGAATTGTGACATTTTGTCCCCAGCTCTCGAAGTCTGGAGACTTCTGGTGGCTCTCGACAAATGCGTTCTTCTGACTGGTAGCTCGTTGGACTATAAACGCCCACATATCCCGCCAGCCAAGGACATTTATATAACGGCTCCCAAACTTCTCAATGTAGCTTCGAACGTCACTTTCCAGTTTGCTCGCTGCTTCGTCCTTTAGTTGAAGGAAAAGATTGGGGATAAGAGATGTCCTCGCTATAATCCTCCCCTTATACCTGAGTGCTTCTGAAGGGGGATTGGGGCGAGGAGACCTCAGACAGTTCTTAGGCACTTCAATCCAAATTTCTAAAGAGACGAGCCAGTATGATAGAAAGGCAAGAAAGCTTAAAATTCAGGGTATTGGTTATGTCTTGCTCTGCTCCTTCAAACCATCTCCTCTTAGTCCGTTGTACAATTGAAATGATATGATTATCCCTCCCCCCCTCAGTTTCGTCGCAGGTGTCAGTCAACCTGCGGAACTGATGTCAACCTTGTTTCTAGAAAGGTTTGTCTGCCTCTTTCCAAAATTGCAACTTGAAATTAAAATCAATCATAACGAGTTGAAATCATGGTGGGCTTACTAGTTTGGGCGTTGATACATTTTCCCTTGTATTTAGATACGTTTGCATTCAAATTTTATTTAAGTCAGAGAGAGAAGTCTGTTGTGCTCAGTGACAATCAGAATACTTTTGAAATATACTTATGTGCGCCTCTTGGTAAGTTAACCCAACTTACCTTCACAGCCATGCAAATGATCCGTCCTTCTTGCAGCAGATCGAAAAATTTTATAAGTTCTTGTCCTTCGTCTTTAGATGAGTACGTGTCAAACGCTCTAACAGCCATGAGAGAGCCTGTTGTTTGGCTTAAAACAAACACTATCATACCTCGAACATTTTTATCCTTGATTTCTGATACCTTGAGTGTAAAAAAGCGAGAATGGTGTGAACTTTTTTACGTCAACCACAAAGCAGATATAAAGAAACAAGAAAGAAAACGTGGCCGTACATCCCTCGAATTAACAAACATATTCTATGTTGCCGTGCATCTGTTTAGTAACAGATAATAGATGACGCCAAAACTTGGTAAGAACACAGAAGTGTCACACGAAGCTCAGCGGAGTTTGTCCTTGATGTTCTTTTCACATCTTGATGTCTACCGGCTATGATTTTCTGTGACGCTACTGACGCACGACAGGATGGAATCCCTTTGTGTTTGTTTTGTAATGAAGAGGCAGAAAGTTGCCAATGCGTCTGTCCTCCCACAGATCTCAATAGCTCGTCCCAGACGCTCAGTTTGTGATATGGCAAAATCGTAAACGGCATGATGACAGTGCAGCGAAAAAAGCGGGAGGACTAGGTCTAGTCGCGTAGAGGAGAGAGAATTGGGTCGCAACTCGACCCGAATCTCCCTCCTTTAAGCCTGCCTCTTTTCACGCTCTACTGCTGCTATCGATTACTATTTCGCTCTGTTTTATCAACAGCCACAGATTAGGATCCCAATTAAGAACCAATCAAAATGCGTGTCTAATTCAGCATTTCATATAAAATCAGATTAAAGGAAGGTATAATGTTGAGCATTCACCACTTTTCCATCAACAACAACCGACGCCTCCTCTTTGCTAGAATGAACTTGAATGTCCATATCGATATCATCTGTTTGAAAAAAAAAAATGTCAAATTGTATTGCAGAAACACACCATTTTAACCGCGACATGACATGTCATGACGCGCGTGTTTGAAAGGTTTTCTGCAATAAGCAAGAGATGACTGATGAGCTTTATTTAAACGGTGTACCACATCTGGACGTTTCACTGGTTCTGAGCCATTACTGCATATGAGCTAAAACATCATGCCTGAGAAGTCTTTCCTACGTCATTATTCACTTGCTCTTTACCAAATATATTAGTTATCTAAATAAAACAGGATCGATCAAGGCTTTCCGTGGGTGCTCGTGGAAAAATTAACCTAGTGGTTGGGGGACTGGAAACTAGGCGTCCGCCTAAATTCGTTCCTAGAGTCTCTTCGTGAATGAAAATGAGAGAGCGTGATAACGAATGTGGTCAACTTTATTGGATAAAACTTTAAAAGCTCTGTTTCTGTTTCTCAGCATTTTGGGCAAAATGTGTGAACTGCTACGAAGAGGTGATATTTTATTATACTTTCTTGAAAATATCACTGGATTGGAAAATTAGCGAAATGAACCGAGGTAAACTTTTCTCATTTGCGATCCAAACTAATTGCCAATTTGTCTCACCTTATAAAAGCAAACAGAAGCCTTAGTGACATTATCACAAATTTAGAGAATTCACTATGACTTTAGTTGCTATAATTCTTGTAAGCTTGAATTTTTACATCATTACTCATAAGGAATAGTTTATTTCTGCAACCTTAAAAATCCATCATTTTCGCCTAGATTAATTCTCGATACACCACAGACTATTCTGACAATTCAACTAGGCAACAATTGTTTTCCATTTTGTCCTCTATATCTTAGATGGTACAAGGAATACTAGAAATAATAAGATCAAAAGGGCTGATGCACGGAACGTCGACTTCAGAATCTCTTTACGGTGGTCCATTCACCTTCTCAACTCATTTGACGAACATGACATAGTTTACCACCCGCATTTGGTTTCTAAGGTTTCAGCACAATTGCTTTGCACTCATATCACTGTGAATTTTCAATTAATTTTCTCTTTGATTATATCTGAAATGCCTTTTACAAATTTCCCTGATGAAGACAAGGCGCTTTAAAAGTCGTTTACAAACTCAGTGAAATGTTCAGCAAATGAACCTACTCTATGCATCTATCATACGAAATTAATTACAATTCATAACTGACAAAAATGGTTCACCGCACACCTGTTTTTTTTTTTTTTACCATTTACATGTCAATAAGTAAAACTGAATCATCTATGATCACACTGATTGATTTCAAGGAGAAACGATCTCGAGTTTGTCTCTTGTGAATTTTAAGGCATCGATCGATCAGGCTGTGTTTGAGAGCTCAAAAAAAATTATCAAACTTAGTTTCTTGTTCAGACAAACTTTTCGGACACCAGGCTTTGCAATTATTTAAATATCTTTTCTCACAAGACACCAGTTTCTTCTCGTCTTGGACTTGACTACCCAAAGAAAATAGAATCATTTTCATTTGATCGAAAAACTGAAGCTACCATAACTCAAACTGTTTCCACTTTTTGAACATGATTATCTCGCGCATATCAGTGTTCGCGATCCACATCCCAAGTGAACGCACCGTGAGACAAACGACTACAATTCCTCTTTTGAAATTGTTATATACCACGATGACAAACCACAACCTGTTTTACCATATTTAATGTTTTTGGATAAATTTTTATCCATTACACAATTCCTATAGCATACTGCTCGTCTTCGATATTGGTCCTCGAGGTTTACACATATACATCAGCCGGTCAAACTTTAAACTGTTTATCGCAGCTCTATCATTTAACACATCTCAATAAGATGTATTTCTTGTCAAAGTCTCAATTCAATATAGAAGTTGTTCCAGAATCATTACAAACAATTTGATTCATTCGTTAACATCAGAATGTCAGTCTGTTCCATTTCTGTTGCCCACAGCTAAAATACGTTTGCAATTAAATGGGTATACACAGAATACTTTCTACGTACCTTCTACAAAACTTGTGTCTAAATTAATTTCTTTCATCTCTCTTTTTCCTCTGTATTCAAAATTTTGTTCCCACCGCGGTTTATTTTCCATGCTCCAGTTTTCAACAAGAAACCATACATTCGCAACAGTAGTTATGAGAATGACCGAGGCCAGTAAAATTCGTAAGGCTTTAAAAATCATTTTTTAAACTTGACCAGAACAAAAATTAAAAAAGAAAAATACTAGAGAGAAAGTTCGGAACCCTTCAATGTGGTATCGTGTATTTCCAGTAAGCTCTGGAATAGAGCTCTACCACAAGCGATACCTAAATTTATGAGCCCTTCCACGCAGAAATGACTCAGGAAAATTCAAATAACATGAAAAAAAGGTGCGTTTTCGTTCCTTTGGAAACCAGTTTCTTTTCGCGCAGAATTTATCACTCATGCATCTTCATGCTTAAAAGATTTTTATTACGCATTCGAGACCTATAAAGCAGTAAAAAACAAACCCAGACGAAAAATAAAGCTTTGGTTTACTAAAGTTTCAAGCGTTGTTCATGATATGCTGTTCATAATATACATCTCGGATCACGACAAATTGTCAGAGTGGCTTTTGAAAAATATCTTAACAACAATATCCAATTCATTAGAATTCATTAGTTATCATTAAATGCATGGTCTTAAAAGTGGCTATTTCGAAGAATCTTTATTTTCAAGCCTCGTCCGCTTTAGGAAATTCTGGAAGAATGTCACATTGGTTATTGGATGGTTTCCGTCTCTTCCTGATTCAGATAATTTCGTGAACTTTAAATGAAAATTTTACCTCGACAGTTAGTTATTTATTTTTTTTTATCATCCTTCCTTTGAGAGCTAACTTGGATTTAATTACGTTGCCATTTGAAGATAAGTTATATTTCTATTTTATACCACCGCTGCCGTCGCCAGTAGATGTCGCAGCAGCCATACCGCCAACAGTAACCATTTTGTGATCACAGAGCAATGAGCTAGCGTGAGAGCAAGTCTTCGTTACGAGCCCTTCAATACGAGCGTTTCTTCACCCACGAATAAGTTTTGGGCCTTGAGTAACACTAGGTGAAGAGAGGTTTGCAGGGAGTCACGCCCGTGGGATTTTCACATGGCGTGAAAAAACAAAAGAAATTTAGCAAAAGAAAGCCGTCAAGAAAAATTTGAAGAATTTCTTGACGGCTCTCGCGCTAGTCAAAGTTTGGAGCTGGGGCTGAACGTTGTTATATTTTCAGACGCCTGAAAACGTGCCTGTAATGTTCTCAGATCTTCTGGCGTTTGAGATATTTTCGTTTCATTAAATCAACGCAGACGTCACCAGCAAACGTATGTTACAATCGTTTATTGTAATGTGGTATGTCAAGATAGTTTGTACATGCTGTGCCACTTTTTCTGCCGCGACTACAACTCATGGCAAATTTAGCATAACAAAAGGTAACTAAACAGGTTTACAACGCGAAAACGCAGCTATCTTTCATGTATAATAGTTCATTATTATTCATACCACTCAGCAAAAGAAAAAAAATTGATAACACTTTATTTTGGTCACGCGCGTTATCGTCGTGGGGATAAATGAGCCAAGCGCTTGAGTGTCTATGTACAAAATTCGCGCTGCATGCCCTGACAACCGTTCCGTGTTTTAGGATTTAGGGCCATTTTCCGCCGCTCCATGTTTTAGGATTTAGGGCCATTTTCCGCCGCTCCATGTTTTAGGAGTTGGGATCATTTTCCGCCAATCTACCGTTCCACCGTTCCACCGTTCCACCATTCCTGCTATAATAAGAGTCGTATTCCTTTTCCTCGCCTTTCTTCTCAATACGCATGCGTGGCCGGGCTAGTTTCCAGGTGACTACGAAGGACAGCGTGTTTGCGTTGAAGGTTTGAATGTTTGAATTGAAGGATTGCGTGCTGGAAATGACGAGTATCATGTTCGCATCGAATAATTGAATGTTTGGAAAAGGAGTTCGAATATTTGAATGAATAGGGTTACCAAATTAAACAACTGGATGTCTCCACGGTCGAACAGCAGATCTGACCTAAAAGATTAAGCGTTGGAATGGAAGAATAGCCGGTTTGAATAGTAGAGTGTTGGAATTGCAGAACGATTGTTTCAAAATGAAGGATTGCGTGTTTCTGTCGACAAAAAGCCTGTTTGAACTGGCGAATAGTGTATTTGAATTGACGAGTAGGAGGTTTGCGGAAAAGAATTACATATTGGAATAGAAAGATCATGGGATTTTTACTTGCGGAACTGACTATTTTCTCGGAATTGCGAGATTGAAAATTTAAAATGCTCAATGGCATGTTTGAATTAGACGACTGAATGTTTGGGTAGTAGAAAAACATTTTTGAAACGAAGGATTGCACGTTTGAATAGAAAAAGCATGACTGAATCGAAGAAATATTGCTTTGAATTGAAACAATGGATGTTTCAGTAAACAAGTCTGACACTAGGATTTTAATTTTGACACTAAAAACGCGCCATAGAGGAGCCTCGTCTGTTTTCATATCCAGGCAAATAGATTTTCACACCTAGATTTTCACACTCTCTCGTGGTGGTTAAGGGTTCGTTTCCTCTCAATCAAAGCTTTTTTTTAGTAAAAAAGAACAGAATTAACGGCATCTAAGGGATCAGTCAGGATTTATAACCTGGGATGGAGGTGGAGGATTCTTAGAGGGGAAAAATGCTTTTCAGGTGGAACAGGGGAGAGATATTCGTCGCCAACAGATAATAAGGGTTCGGAGAAAATTGAGTACCACTTCACTGCCAATGAACTGTTGA